ACTCTTAAACTGAGAAAGTGTGGGCAAGAATCAGAATGTGGGATGGTTAATTAATGGACTGCTATATTGCAGAGGCTGGTTTTAATATTGTTTTAGTAGGCTAAGGTCTAGTGCAAATCCCATAGGTGCTGTAGCAACTGACTTTCCTTGCCAGACCTAGCTGGCACAGGATCTGCTTCCACAACAGGTTTGCTCCTTGAGCTCAATAGCTGTATTCCCTTTGAAGCTTTACAGTCACAATTCAATGGAAAACAAACATAAATCCAAATGAAGTGTAAAAAGTAAACTTTGGTGGGTGAGTGTGTCTTCCGGTTCCTGAATTCTCTCTCTCTCTCTCTCTCTCTCTCTCTCACACACACACACACACACGCACACACACACACACAAGCTGTTTGAACAAATAGCATTTGTATCTATCAAAGTAGTGATATTGCAAAGCAAGTTAAAAGACATGATTAGGGCTCCTACATAGCTTGAATAGATAATTTATAGCCGTCAAACAGCCAGCACCAGCAATGGTTAATGCCCAGTTACATAGGAAGAGAGATTTTTAAAAAAAAATATTTTGTATTTTGAACTTACTGGTAAGGTTGCTCATGTTATCTGTCTCTTACAACATCTGTGTAACATAGGGTATATCTAGACTACATCCCTCTGTTGTCAGAGGGATGTAAATTAGACACAACAAAATTGCTAATGAAGCGGGGATTTAAACATCCCGCTCTTTATTAGAATAAAAATGGTTGCCACTTTTTGCCGACGTGGCAATTTGCCGGCAAAAAGTGGCAGTCTTCACAGGGATTGGTCGACAAGGAAAGCCTTTTCCAACCGATCCCATAAATCCCCGCTTCATTAGCAATTTCGGTATGTCTAATTTACATCCCTCTGTTGCCAGAGGGATGTAGTCTAGACATACCCATATCGTCCATTTATTACTTTTCCCAAGTTTAAACACAGTGTTAGGAATAAAATATATACTCCTCATTATTCAGAGGACTCAAATATTTTCCCTCAAGAACAGGAGAATAAAGAAATGTTGTGTAGAATGTGTGAAGCATAACAAACCTACTGCTGAAAGCCCTGTTAATACCCTAACTGCACTTCAGTAAAATATTTACAGCAAGCTTTGTAGCTCTCATTATCTTTATAATTATTACATCTTTCCTCCCAATCCCATTAAGCATGTTGTCACAGAGACTTGATTGAGGTTCATTATGCGGCAGTTGCTTATCCAAGGCAAATCTTGTGACAGCAACTGGCAACGACACGAGCCTCGTGTGTATTAATTTTATAGCCAGTGATTCATTAGACCACGGCTCCTTGTGCTGGATACAAGAAGCCCCATCTCCAAACTCTAGTGAGCCTTCAAAAATGTCTGAACCTTTTAGTTTCTGCCTTGGCTGAAAGATGTATACCATGACATAACGGCCTATTCTGTCACTTAGCATTACCCCTCCTAGAGTCCACTGTTACAGATCTCACTATACATTTATATTCTTTTGGTGACACTGGAAGACAGTACTGCACAACCGGGTCTGCCCATTAAAGCATTCACACAACTTGTCTACAGAGGAAGTTGCTATGGTGCAAGCTACTGAGAGAATCTATTGTGCACGAGCTTGCAGTGCAGTAACATCCCAAGTGGACAGTGATACAGTGCAGTGAGAGACACAGAATGGCTTAGGGCAAGCCTGCTTCAAAGTGCTGTACTGTAAGCTTTCCCTGCCCTGTAGCAGACTTCCCATGGCAAGTTAGTATGCAGCCAGCTGGGACACTGTAGTTCTCTATCCTGACTTCCTGCACATTAAATTACCATAAAGACAAGCCCATACTCGGACCTTTGAGCCTCTCTTTCGTACCCCTACACATGCAACAGAATTGTAGAAACTTTATTAAGAAGTTGAACACACAACTGATTATTTTTTAAAAGATTTCGATCTGTCACTATTACAGGGTGTCTCTGCTTCTGAGGGTTAAGAAATGTTGACATATATTTAAACTGAGGTTAATGAACATGCTTGTATTGTTGAAGGCTGGAAAAGCCATACCAGCCATATAATAAATAAATATTAGGCTCGGGATCCTGACAAAAGGAAGGAAGTAGAGCAGCAGAATATGGACACAACCCCCCCACCCTTTATTTCAGTTCTTTCAAACTGTCAAAAATGTCCATTCCACAAATAATTATGTATTTCTGAGTTTGAATTGGGGGAGGGAATTCAGAAACAATGTTTCTTCCTGGGAAATGAAATTCTGATTCTTACAGTTCTATGAATAGAACACATTTACAGCTGGTACTTTTGTTGGCAGCTAAAGCAAAGGCCAAGAACAGAATGGGCAATGGACTATGAACTCTTCTGTCCTACTACAGATAGTTACTTCAGATTGGGGGGGCACATACAGTAGGACAGCACAGGGAGGGTTGGCCTGCTCTCTGTACCACACCTGTACTTCAGATAAAGAAGAACTCAGTCTACAGTGCTATGAATAGTCACATAGAGGTAGCTGTATTAGTCTTATCTTGGTAAAACAAAAAAGCAGTCACATAGCACTTTAAAGACTAACAAAATAGTTGATTAGGTGATGAGCTTTCATGGGGCAGACCCACTTCTTCAGATCATATTCTGAAAGTCAATAGGCATGACCATTATATAACAGAGGGATACGATGAAAGAAGGTAAAAAAAATTACAAAATTTTACAAAACAATGCTATGAGTTGCCTTTCAGAAGTATGCCACTAAAACAAACAAACAACCCTATGTTGTTATCAGTAAATAACCACTTTTAGTTATTCTTTGAATAATTTAGCTTTTCAAAGAAAAACTATCCCACTCATTGAAAAAAATGTAAAACAATTGCAAATACAATAAAATATTTTCAGTAACAGAATAATAAATAACTGGAGTCATACTGGGTTGGTTTATATTATGTGACCTTACTCTTAGGCTAAACATGTTAAATAGAGGAACAAACCACTAAATCTTTTGTACAAAATTTAAGAAATGTGTTGTTAGATACATTAATGTAAATTCTAACTATGTATCGTGTAAAAATTTAGCATTTTCCAAATTAGCTAATATGTTCCTAAGAAGCAATTTTAGTACTGCTAGTAATAGGAAACAGTTGGCACATTATTAGAGTAGTTTCTCAAATGAGATCTAGTTCAATTTTGTTCCAGATGTTTCTTAACAGTTTCTTGATCTCAATCTGCTAGTGTCAGCTGTGTTTGAGCCTTTAGTCTTTAAAAAGAACAAATCAGCATTCCAGGAAAATGGTATCAAACTGAACTGCTGCCCCTTTTACTGGGAACCAGTAGGGACTTTGGAACAAAAACCTTTCAATGTCTTTCTCATCCTCTCTTCCAAACAGCATCCCGACTACTATGATCCTTCCTGCATTAGCAAGCCATGCATGTTCTTTGTTTTTCAATAAAAGCAAAGCCTCTGAATAGGTCAGCTCCCTATCATCCTAAAATAGTGGTTTGATCTGATTCAGAGGGAAGAACGTCACTTTCTGTAACATGACAATACTTCCCGAAGCTGCAGTGCAACCTCAAATCCAAGTACTGATCCTAGCCCAACTTACGTTGTGAAAACTGACAATACTCCAGCCTTGGTCTGACTTTGGGGCTACGGAAGATCATTGCTGCAGTATTAGCTTCTTTAGGCCAGTGGTTCCCAACCACCGGTCCATGGACCAGTGCCAGGCCGCGAACCACTGGCTGCCCCACCTAAAGTTGGCTATTCACAGCGGCTCTGGGGGCTGGGGCACACTGAGCCACCGCAGCTGGAGCTAGCTGTTCACGGCAGCACCTTTGCAGACTGGCAACATTTTATTTGCATATTAATTATTTGCATAATGAGTATGCAAATATGCACCTTAAATGTTACCGATCTGTCAAAAGTTTGTGAAGGGGTTTGCCGGTCCGTGGTATAAAGAAGGCTGAGAACCACTGCTTTAGGCTATTTCATCATTGAATCTAATGATAAAAAACAAAATCTTCTAACAAAAACTGCAAGTTTCAGACCACTGTTTTTAATTAATCCCTGGCACCCAGGCCCACTCTGCAATATATCTTCATCAGAGCAAAAAGAAAAATACTTAACACCCCTATCTTTCCTTATGTCTTCAATGTGCGAACTGCTCATTACCACCCCAGACTATGGATGTTAGCATATAGTTGTTTAAATGACTACACTCCCTGCCTTTTAAGTTGGATCCCACAGAGCCACCTGCCCCCTCAGTCCTGCGCGGCTGCCTGTGCACCTGGGCTCGCCATGGACAGAAGTTTCTCTGTGGGAAACCTCTGTCTGTGAGGAGCTCAGGCCTTCCACAGACAGTGGCTGCTGCCACTCCACACTGCTGTATCAGAGGCAGCAGCGTGGGCAGCAGGTGGAAGCCAATCTGTACAGGGAGCTGATTTTTAAACAGAGGCAGCAGCACGGGTGCTACAGGGCTCCCCAGGAGTGGGGCCAGAAGCTGGGAGCACACTGGTTGCAGCCCCACCCCTAGGGAATATTTTAGTAACCATGTAACTGATACATTTTTTGCAGCTACATAGATTACTAAAATAAACATGATCTAACATCCCTGCTCCAAAGGGATTATTAAGTATCATTAGTTCCATTTTACAGACTCCGCATTTGAGACAAAAAGAGGGAAGTGATCTGTTCCACATCACAGAAAATGTAAGCATCAGAGCTGAGATATTTGGACTCCACCACTGTGTTCAAGCCACTAGACTACAAATCGTATTCTTATAAAGATAAACCTATTGATTACAAATAAGTGTAACACCACAGCTTAATCTCACAGGCATTGTTGCATGCCTTAATGATTCAAACACCACTGACTGCTCTCTAATTTTGGTAGAAAAATAAGGAAATGCAGTAATGAGTAGAAATTAACCAACAAAACAAAGATCTGTTGGTTCCTGACTAAAATATTTTAGTCCAAGAAAACTCCATATAACAAGTTTGTGCAGTTATTGGTACTGTACCTTGTAAGTAAGTAAGGTGAGAATGAAGCTGGATTGTCCTGCTCTGAAAACATTGGCATAGAACCTCCCATTATCCAGAGACGGAAATATAAAACAAGAATCACCTTCAGAGAAGAAGAACATCTATTGAGAAGGTTACTTCCATTTGAGCAATATTATACCGCACATAGAAATCCAAAACTTTAAAGTGCAGAGTCTGAATTTTTTTTAAGATGACTCTTCAAGATTTAGCAAACACTGCAAGGAAATCAACATAAACTTGATGTCCAGAGCAGTTATACAATCAGTTCCTATTAGAGTCAGTGGCATAGCAGGGTATTAAGCTTTGAACATCCACTAAAAAAAAGACAAATACCATAAATATACACAAAAGAAATTTCATAGATATTTATCGAGTTAATTCTCTACCCTTTCCTGTAAGAGCATCCTGCCATAATGTAAGCGTGTGCTACGGACATGGACTTTATGTTATGTCAAGCCTTCTCAAAATACAGGTAACATTTGTGTGTATGAATGTGTCAGTGCCCTTTCTTGCACTGAGTGAAACCTCCCTCTGTAAGGAGTCCCACTGATTTACTCCTGAGCTGGTTTCAAGGGCACTATTTATGATTCCTACACTGTTCCAGGTAAGGGAAACAGAATCTGACCTATAAGGGCAACACGGGTGTTATGCTTTAAATGAGCAACCTTTTTATTTCTTCTTACTACCTGCCCTGCTGGCTGGAACAGCATGGTCACCTGCTTTCTGGAAATGAAATTAATTCCTTACACTTACAGAGATTGCCACTGAAAAGTCAGTATTTGTCAGTATTTAACTCAGAGTGGTATATTTTACACTGTAGATTTTCCCTCTATTTAGAAAAGGATAAATGTTGGGATATTTGCAAATACTGTTTTATAAATGACAACCTATGTAAACAAATATGAGGTGGAAAAATGCAACATTTTTATCTAACTGTCCAGCTGAAAATTTTTGGACTATCTTTCAAGATTAACTCTGAGTTAATATTATCTAGTCAAACCATAGAATTTCAATTGCAATTTCAGCTTTCTAGATCTGTTAATTATAGCATTCAGCAACATTAATGTGAATATTATTTGGGTGTACACAACCCTACCACATTTTAAGTACACTCATACTTACATAACTTATTACCAAAGCAGCTCTCTTCAAAAATGGCCTTGCAGTATACAAGAAATTCTTGTTGTTACTTGCAGTCAGATAGCTGAAATTCAAATGAACAAACACTTGTTTAAGTACTTGGTGGAAAGTAGCTTATTTTTCACACTGAAAAATCACTGGCACAATGCTCTAACCATCCAATGTCTATTAATTTGTTAGCATTAAAGCTATAATGTAAGCATTTGTATTATTTTCCATTTTCAAAGCATTTTCTAATTAGAATTAGTCAACATTTTATTTCTAAAATTTGACCATTTCAACATTTTTTTAAATTGCAGAAATTATCACAATTCCCCTCCCCCATCCCCAACCAGCTTGATTTACAAAATGCTAATTCGAATTAGTTTTTAAGTCTAGATGCACTAACTCGAATTAGCTTAGTTCGAATTAACTAATTCGAATTAAGTTAGTTTGAATTTAGTGCTGTAGTGTAGACATATCCTAAGGTATTAAAGTAACTAAATATGCTTATACAGGATCCTACTTTTTGTTTTTCTGATAAAGAAAAACATTGGAGAAAATTGTTGAGGAGGATAAGCATGGATGAAGGGAAGAATCTATTTAACTTGGGAGAAAAATGGAAGAAATGCTTTTGAGAAAGCGTTAAAAAAATCTAGTTCATAGGGTCTATGAAGCAGATCACAATGTTTCTATTGAAGTCAGCATTCCATTCAAGGAAAGAATCACACTTTTTCCTGCTAATATCTAATTTAGAAAAAAAATTATTTCCTCTCCAAAATTCCTCAATACACTGGATCCTTTAACTACCTTTAGCCCTTCAAATCACAGCAAAAATAAGTTCACAATACTTCCTCAAGATAGAGAAGTACTTAATTCATGTCTTTTTGTTCTACTTTTCCATAGCAGGAAGTTAGTAATACTAAGCACCTTTGAAATATGAAGAAAAGCTTTCACTGCAGACAAAAGCAGCAGTACCATAACCTGTATGAAAAGGAGTTAAAGTCCAGCAACAAAAAAAGGAAAGTGAGTGCAGCTGGGTGCATTCTAGAAAACACACTCTTTAAAAAAAACCTGTGTCATTCTTAGAACAAAGTAACCTGAACTATGTACTGCAGTGACACCTACAAAACCTTAGGCCCTTGTTGTATATTTATGTATAAATATTTACATTTAAGATTAGGATGTGACTTAAATTTCAGATTGGTCTTCAAGACCCCAATCTTGCAAGACGAAAACTTTTCTGAGCTCCCAGTGATTTAAATTTGGTCTCAACTTCCCAGAACAAGAAAGCTCAGACTAGCCCTCAGGTTTTATACTTCATGTTTTCACTATGGCCCTGATTCAAGGCCCACTGAAGTCAAGAGAAAGACTCTCTAGGGCATGTCTACACAGCAGGGCTAAACTCAAAACAAACTACGCAACGTGAACTATGCTAACTGAGTAGATGTCTACACAGCACTTATTTTGAAATAGAGCACGCTTCCCCCAACTTCCCTTACTCCTCATTCAATGAGGTCTACAGAAGTTGGAGTAAGAAACCTGTTATTTCGAAATTTATTTATTTCGAAATAACAGGCTTGCTGTGTAGACATGCACTATGTTATTTTGGAATAACTGATGTTATTCCAAAATAACGCTGCTGTATAAACATGCCCTAAAGTAGGGTCTGGATCAGGCCATGGACTTTGGTGCCAGTTGGAATGTCTCATGAAATTCAAACCTCTTACGATTTTTAGTAAGCAACAAAAGGGGTTGGTTGTATTTTGTTTATATTATGATAGATGGGCAGGTAGCGCAGGCAACTATTAAGGTTGTCTAACATTTCCCATTGTAAGAGCTTGTTTACACTTGTTCATAAATTTTGACAGACTTTGACCATTTGGGTTGCATGCCCAGTGTCTCCTTTAGACTGAGATTTTGCTGCGAAATTCAGCCAAAATGGTTCAGCTGTTTCTGAAAATGAAACTAGAGAAAAAAATACATTGTTTCATCCATTTTAAAAGTTCTGGTGACCTTTACTCTGAAAAGCTCAAACACCATTAGATTCTGAAGCAGAAACTCAAAATATTGCTAGACTGGAGCCTTTATGTCAGGGATGTGCCTTTTGTTGTCCCAATCAAAACCCACCCAAATTTGACCAAGTTATAAATGTGCGAGGAGGTTGGGGAAGGGAATCACAGTTGACAGACATGGTCAGTAGAGACTATTTAGAGCAGTGGTTCTTAACCTCTTTGGTACTGTTACCCCTTAAGCTTAACCAATAAATCAAAATTATCCCTTCACCTTTTTTAAATGGCAATAGACAAAGAGAAAATTATGATTAATCAGGTTTATTGTATTTCATTTTCTCATACATAACGCTGAACAAAAAAGAACACCCATTGTATTTTAAACTTATATACTAGGTGCATTATTCAGAAAATGAAAACACATCACAAATAGCAATTCTCAGATGAACTTCTCTGTGTGAAGGTTGATACTGCTTCTGCTTGACTAGCTTAGAGATACATGGTTGTCACAGGTAATGCACATCTCAAGTCATGACTAAGATCCAATTTATTCCTTGCCTACATTTTAATGTTGACCATTATAAAAAAAGGAAGACCTCACAGCGATATGTAGTGGAAAATGGGATTAGAAGTTTGAGAGCTCTGTCAGAGAGAATCGGGTATTCTAAACCAGCTTTTCAACAAAAGAGAGCTCTGTCAGAGACTGAAAATCTGCTTTCAATGTGTTATCTTCCTGCAGACCAAGGAATTCTGCTTTCGCCTTGATATCCTTGTCTTCGATTACTTTTTCTTCCACTGTAAATGGTCTTACAAACCATGCATTCATGTGACACTGTTCTATATCTGGAAAGTATCCATTGATGGATCCTGTTACCGATAGCAAGTGTCTTATGATCTCATCAGCAAATGAACATTTCTGTTTGGTTGCCTCAAGCAGAGTTGTCAATTCTAACTACATGGATACATCACCAGTTTCAACCCTCAGTCAGTAGGGCTGGAACTTACTAAGGAAGCTAGCAACCTTGTCTTGAGCCGTGAGAACAGTCACCATATTTCCTTGTATTGAGAAGTTTAGCTGATTAATTTCAGTAAAAAAAAATCTTCAAGGTATGCCAATTTTAGAATGAATATATGGTCCATTATTTTCCCAAATAATTCTTGTTCTCTTGCAGATCTCTCTCTTTCAAAGAATATTTATATTTCTTCTCTTAGTTGCAACACTCAGTTTAAGACTTTTCCACATAATAACCAGAGAACATCTGAATGAAACAGAAGTGCACAAAATTCAGCTCCAAGCTCTTCACATAATACTTTAAACACTGGAAGTGCCAGCTTTGAAAAATACAAGAGCAGGGGCTCTTGTGCATTTCAAAGCTGCAGCTCAGCATGGAGACCAGGGTCAGTGGAGGACTCAGAGTCCCCCCACTGACCCCAGGCTCCATGCTGAGCTGCCAATTTGAAATGCCACGCGGAGCCGGGGTCAGCCTCGGCATTTCAAAGGGGCAGAGTGGCACAGCTGATCCCATGTCAGCTGTACAGCGCTGCCGTTTTGAAGTACCCCGTCTTCCCACCCTTTGCTGCCTCTGATAGAGACAGCAAGGGGGGGAATCAACTAGTCGACTAGCCCTTAACATCCTTAACCCTGACTGCCAGGAACTATCCTGCTCAAGACCAGGGAATGGGAGGAGAAGAGGACGAGGAGGGGGAGCAGCATGACACCTACAGCTGACAGAAAATCTGGGGAGGGAGCATCCCCAGAGTCAGACCGTCCCCTGTTGTTTCCAGTGGCATGCACCCACCTTCTCTGCAGGCAGGAGCCTGAACTGCTGCCAGGAGCTGGTGCAAGTGCAACAGCTCTAGCAGCAGAAAAGGTCTTGGTGCCAGAGAGCTAGGGGGCCGCAAGTAGGCAATAAAACACGGCAACGCTGCCCCATCAGCTTAAATCCTATAGCCCCACTCCCAGGGGCTGCTCCACTGTAGATGGCAGGGGGAACTGGCCAAGGGAAGTGGACCTGGGATTCCAGAACAACAGATGCTACCCCCAGAAGACACACCATGGCCAGGCCCGGCCTACAGGAGAGGAAGTGGGATGCCACATTGGTGAGGGCTGAGGCGGGATGCAGAAGAACATGACGATGTCACTCTCTTGTCCTACAGGAAATATTTTTTATATAGAGACAGAGATTTCACCACCAAGGGTGAATCAAACATTATCTTCCATTGGGTTTGCCAGCGGTTTTATAGGAGCTGAATGGTAACAGGGTTGAACATGTATCTGCAAGTCATATCAAGTTGGGCTGCAATGCGCACTGTTACTGCATGACTCATACTACATCACTTCAGAAGGAACAATAATGAAATATTGTTAAATAAAGTAAATTAAACAATTTGCTGATTTTGCAGTTACTTTGTGTTAGTTCAATTTAATAATACACAATATATTTTTCTTTGCTGATATTACTCAGAAGTGTGTGTAGATGACCAGCTCATTACCCCTGAAATAAGCCAAATTACCTCTTGAGGGGTAATTATCCCTACTTAAGAACCAGAGTCAACTTTAATAAGTCTCCTATGACAAAAGATTCCATCTATACTATGTAAGCTATAGCCTGGAACCACTATCAAGCATTATCTGTGCTTAAAACTTAAGTTGCCATGGGTATAGCACTCAGAGGTATGACAAATTCATGTTCCTGAGCTTTTGAAATAATACACTAATTAAAAATAAGAAAAACATGATATAATCTTAGGCTGTGACTGGCCTGGAGCAAGAGCTGTTTTTGTGTTGTTTGTTCAATGCTTTGTACAATAGGGTTCCAATCAAGGTCTTTAGCTGTACTGTCCACCATCCATTTGTTCCCTCTCAGTTACAGTCTACTTTTCAAGGAAGGTGACAGTTGTATTTGATTATTGGTCCTTTCTAGGGGTTGATGTTGCAAAGCACACAGTATGGGAAAGAAGTCGTAGAGCATATAACACTGATCTAACTTCCTTTGAAAGGGGTCAGTTAGTCTGCTCTGTTCTGTAATATTCCAGATGTGTTTTAAGATAATCATAATAAGACTGTAAAAAT